AACAACAACACCAGCACAATTCCTTTTACGAAGATACAAACGGAGAGATTAACCTCTAGCGCTTGGATTGAAGCCTCGTTCATGGATAGTTCAACTTCATAGCCTCTGAGAAGTTGCTCGGTCGTCTCCTTGTCGCGCTTTGATTCCTCCAGCGCCGTGCTCGATGCATCCAGCTCGGATCTCAGATCCTCGATTCGCTTCTTCTGGTCCGCAATTCGCCTCTCTGCAAAATGGCATCGAAATTTACGGCAAACAAAATACAAAATCACGAGCTGAAAATGAGATGTTTGATTTTCTACCGCCTTGAGATTCGTCAGATGATAATTCGCGAATGAGGGTGAGGAGCGGCTTCCGCGAATCGCTTCCCGCCATGGACAAACTATTTCGGAAAGTTTGAAATGTGAGCTTGAAGGGGCTCCCTTTTTTTCCCGATTTTTTACATGGATGTCCTGAATCAAAGCCGTACGATTTGATTTGTGCTGCAAATCGACGGCGATTTGTACTATGCAATTCCTTCATATTTTTCAGCGAGACCAAGCCCATCTCATTTTAATGGAATTACTGTTAAATGAAAGAGTAGTTATGAATTTTTTCCATGATAGAGTGGGTCGCAATGGATTTCATTCACCAAGCCTAACTCATTCACCAGGCCCAATATCCCATTATTTTACAAAGTTTAAAGAAATCGTAAGAGCGTTGATCCAAGACTTTAAAATAATAAAATTCAACATGACATACCTTCTATGATTACAATTTCCCATGTATTCTTGCAATGTTTTGTGAAAGAATGAATTAATTACTATAATTGTTATGTAATCTGTAATTTTTATATAAGGATATTGCTTAAAATTATTTATGGAACTAAAATGCAATTTTACCTTTAAATTTGACTTTCCAGTAGTTATGTCGTATTATTATTATTATTATTATTATTATTATTATTATTATTATTANGTGGGTTGTGGAGTACAGTCTCTATCCTTGACCACCAACATTCACAAAAGAGATATACCAATTTGAATTAAATGCGGTTTTCATTAAAATTGTTAGTCACTTGGTTTTGTGCCTAAGTCCCATTTTTCCAGTTACTTTTTGTTCCCAAAATAGCAATTTGGAAAATGGTAATGACCCACCAGCTCGAGTCATCATACATTTTTCAACTTGCAACTAATAATGCCGCCCGAGAGTGGAAGAGAGAATAATCAAATATAGACTATATACTAACAAATTATTTAATTATATATATGGGAATATTTTCTTAGCTCGAATTCCCAATTAAATTTTGGAATATGTCTTTAGTTAGCTTTCAAAAAAATTTGTAATAATTAGTTTGATAGCTAATTAGTTTTCCTATCTTGAAAGATATATACATATGATTATTTAAAAAAAAAAAATCACATTTTATTGGATTTGTTGATTTGGAAAATTAATAGTGTTTCTAACTTATTTATGTAAAAAGATGTTACTACATTTCATATCAATTATTGACACGTTTGTTCTCTGTTTACATGAAAAATCAAGACAAACCAAACCATGACAACTCACAAAGAATTATCTCTGCACTTTTCAGTTCTTGAAAATTCAAATATTTTTCTCTTATGGGTGAAAGACTGAAAGTGATGGGATTTTCTTGGCAATAAAAATAAAAGAAAAAAAAATTCTATAAACAAATAACTAAGCCTATAAATATCCTTAAAAATTTCAAGCTCATTTGCATTATTAAATGAAAAATATATTGTATTTAAACTTTAATAACTATAAATAGAATTCTTTATATGAAATAAATTGACCATCTCAGTACTGCTGATTGTAATTATAGCTAATTATCCTTAACAAATCAAATGACCCAGTAACAAAATTAACAATGTTTTCCCAGTTTACATTGCACTAACATATATAATATTTTTCAACAGAAAAACTGTATCTCCCACTAATATTACCAGTACACTTGAGTCGTGATTCTCTCTTGAATAAATGGACTTCAATAAGACCAAAATGATTCCAGAATAAAGTAATTTATTACCCATAACAAAGAAAGGTGCTTGGAGGACCTGGGCGTTCTATTAAATAAGATAAACCACAAATGCTGGTAATAGATGGTCTATCCTTGCATAATTATATATATTATTATAAAAAAAAAAAAAAAATTGAGATCCCGAATCATCGTGATGTGTTGAAGAAAATACCGGCCCATGCACGATTCTTCAAGNAATAATAAGGGCCTCCCCACTTGAAAGAAATAAACCAATGATAGTGACTAAGAATATGCATTATGATAATGATACATGATTAAAGAGCATCCATATGTTGTACTATTAATTCCACTTTAAAGTGATAGGAAAATTGTCCCCTCCCACAAATAAAATGGAATCTTATATGATGTTCTCTTCGATAATGATTTATAAATTATAATACTAACTCGCATACCTCAAATCGGACCTTCGGCTAGGTGCATGTGAGTCGACTAGATTTCGTGTTGCATTGGCTCCAAATCCGATTTGAATAATGCTCGACAAACTCTCTCTAGTTTGAATCTCGAGTTAATTTGATCATTTGTATTACTTACCTAGCAGAGAGGCCTAGCAAGCCGACTCAAGAAAATTTTGAGATTTAGTCATGTAACTGACACGTAACTGAAAATATTTTGATGATCGTGTTAACTTTACAAATAATTCTGTAACCACAAAAAAACCTGACTTAGGCAAAGCCGGTCCCTATGATCGGTTGCTGACGTGAATATATATTTTTTTTCTTACACGTGACAGCTGATTAACATATCCAACTCAAAAGCTGGTCAAATTGATCGGCTATTGCTGGTGGAATGACCAAAAGCCAGATTTTTTTGCAGTTACAGGGCGTTCTGTTAAATCAACGCGCGGTCACCGAACTATTTGTCAATTTCATGTAAGTTATAAGACTAAATTTCCAATTTTTCCAACCGTCGCATATACCTCAAGTGGGACCTTCAGCTAGGTCGTCCATGTGAGTCGGAACAACATTTCCAATGCATGTTCGATTTTGTATTCGATGGGGTTAAGTACTCGACAATAAACTCCTTCTAGTTCGGAACTCGAGTCAATCAAATAATTTATGATCAGTTATCCCTCATTAGTAGCTCCAATTCATTGAAAAGATCATAAAAGGCACAAACTTAATAATATAAGGCTTAAAATAAAATGTATAAAACAAGATTAGTTGAAATATAAGGGGCCCTTATTTGTAAGCAAATCATCTTTTTGCCAAATAAAAAGCAATTTTTTTCTTTTTTCACTCTTTATGCTAACACAACACACACACACACACACACACACACACATCGAGTTAATTCTACAATCGAAAGCGAAGTGTCCTAAACGTGCAAAAGGTAGTGGCCATCATCACATTTCAATATCATGTTATCAACACATCAAATTAGCCTGCTCGTGACCGTTCAAATCTTAGATATATCTATACGCAGCAACTTGGTGAATTGCACCTGCAATAATTTATCTTTTTGTCCTATACGGGATATCATAATTATTAACTTAGCTTCTTGTTACTTTCTTTAATTATCGCGAATTTTGAAAAGTGACTTTAAATTTTATATATAACACAAAAAAGAATAATTAAAGAAAGTAAAAGGCTACTTAAGAGAACAGTGACGATCGAATCGGTGGTTCTAAATAGAGCAGAAAAACGAGTTGAACTGTGCTCGAGCTCATATCGTTCATTAATTAAAACTAACGAGTCCGTCGAGTTAATGTAATATTTCAAAAAATTACGTAAAAAAACCTTATTCCGTTAGTCTTAATGAGTCGAACTCAGCTCAAACCTAGTCTTTTATCAAACGAGACAAGTCAACTCGTTTATGTGAGGAGAAAAAACTTAACGAGTCAGAGTTTACAAACGATTCAGTTCGTTTAACATCACAATACAAACTCAAACCTTAACGAGTCGAGTCTACAAACGACTCAACTCGTTTCACACCAACATAGTTATTGAACACTTCATACTGTTGTGAAGAGAAAAAAATTAGATTAGTTGATTGAACTGGAAAGTTGTAAACAATAGTTGCGAAATGTCATATTTTTATTTATTTTTATAAAGTATAATTGATGAAAAAGTACTATAATTGATGACAATAATTTATGTTTTACTTTTTGTTTTATTTTTAAATTTGGTGCGGAGTGGATATGCATGCACTAATGGGGAAGCCAAATTAATTTCTTACTTTGACGAGATTTGTGATGACATAAACATAGCCACTTCGCAGGCTTACCACTGTGTATTTGGACCTTGTGTCCTATTTAAACATCAACAGGTAAACTTAACAGATATGTGGGGGCTGCCTCATTTTTAGCCATCCTTTTGTCAAATCTTTACCTAATAATAGCGCAACAAGATTTTATTATAGTCCACGATCCAAGAGAATACACTTATTTCCCCATTTACTTAAAAACAATTAAACATTTAAAAAAAAAGAAAAAAAAAAGGAAGGAAGAAAGAAAGGAAATAATTTATATAGATAAAATTGCAAAAAATATGTCATATATTTGAGGTATATGATAAATTTGCACATTTACGTTTGCAATTGTGAGGACCATTAACTAGTTAATCGCGAACATATTGCTCAATAAAATGATATATTAAAGATTTAGTATATTTTTCAGGGATATATATTGTGCTCGATATTTTTTACTGAGTAACCATTTTCTGTAATAGCAAAATTTTACTAGACAATTTTGTCATTATATTTGACGTATATATTTTTCAATTCTGATAATTGTTCAATAACATAAATACTATATATGCATGTTAAATTAGTATATTTTAAGTCATAAATTAATATTTATATTGATGGTTGTTATAAATTGGGCCAAATCATATGGAAAAATATCATCAAAGTAAAATCCATATGAGTTGGTAGAGTGGCCCATTATAATCTGTTTGTGAACTTTTATAGTTGATAGTCCGTTTGTTTATTCACATTAAAACCCCAACAATGGCCACTAACTAAACGTGACAATTGCTGCTCATCATAATTTCGTAGATGACAATGATGAGATACTGACTTACAGAACTCTGTGGTTATACTTATACACTTGTCATCTCAAATTTTCCAACGAACACGATTTTTTTATATTTCTTGATTTATTTTTTTCCTTTTTTTTTTTTTGTTCTTCATTTTTAATTTTGGGCTCCATCTATCTATAAAGATGTCGAATTGAACTTGAACTTCTGACACTCAAACTCGAGCTTGATCCTTTACTGAGTCGAATTAATTAATTTTACGAGCGACTTGTTTCGTTTAACAACTCTATTTTGATGGAAGTTGTAAGTTCAAAATATTCTTAACACAAAATAGTTTTGATGGATTCATAAATAAAGAGTTGTTTGGTCATGAGTGGTCATGTATGGAGGTTATAACTAAAAAGATTGGTCCAAATTAAATATTATGATTAACATTATCTCTTTTCTAAAGTTTGATTTGAAACAAAAATAAATAAGTACACAAATAAATAATGGGGGGTGATGAGCTTTTCGATCAAGGCGATTGCGATTTAGATAAATGACAATTTTTTTCCTAGAAAAATAATTATCACTAATTTACCTGCATGGGTAACATATTTTATAATTAGTTTATTAATTATTCATTAGTAAAATTTATCAATTAGTATAAATTGAATTTAATATTTGTGATT